CCCCATACTAGGGATTGAAAACAAGACATTTGCACTGAGCTATATCACTAGGTCTCTGAAAACATTATTTAAGTTTTTAAATTTTTATTTGTTTTTTTAGTTTTTCCAAGTCACTAATTGCTCAGGCTGGCATGAACTTTTGATCTTCCGGCCTGAGCCTCTTAGTCATCTGCTTTCATACTGGTAATCTCTGAACTTACTTTTCCTGTTTTCCCATCTGTAAAGTGGGTCAATAATTCCTTTTCTCACAGGTTTGTTACGGATTAAGGGAGACAGTGAAAGTGGTTATACATCACACAAGCCCGGTCACAGTTGTGCACACACCAATGGAACGTGTGATCTGTGGCCACCAGGGGGCAGCAGGTCTCTTCTGGCCGGCTCAGCGAGGGCTGGGAAGATCCTGTGGGATCAAACTAGAGAGAGAAAGGCCAGGTGAGAGATCCCGGGTCCCTGGGCGACTGTGCCCACCTCCCCTGACCACTGTCTTCGGAGCTGCCCTGCCCTGGCTCCGGCCAGCTGACGCCACAACTGAACGCGTACCCAACAGTAAACCAGACGTCCTGATTTTTCTAGAACAACCAGAAACTAGGATTTTTTGTTTTGCTTGTTTTGTTTTATGAAACGTGTGGACTTCGTGTGATCTACAACAGGACCCTCTTTGCATCAGTGTGGGTGGACCATCCTTGGGCTAGAAGTGCTGAAGAGTTAGTTTCATCTTTCCTGAGAAATACCTTTATGTATCCTCACTCTCATTATTTCATCAGACATTAATGGTTCTTCCTTAGATCTCTGTGAAATGTTTCCTTTTAAGTTACTGTTCCTGTTACATTATTTCCAAACTGCTATTAGATAGTGAATTGTATTTTCTCACCTGTCAGAGTTGTCCTGTAGTCTCCTGAGATCCTTTAAGTAAACACAGTGGTTATGTGATGGGGAGGTGCAGGGGACGTGAGAGGCTTGTAGCCCGAACTGCCCCATATGTGAGATGCTGGCAAGGCCTGGCCACTTCCCTGCACGGAAGCCCCTGGGCTTGTGTGCCTGCCCTCGGTCTCAGGGACCTGGACACTCTTGGGGCTTGGGTGAGGTCTGTGCTGCGGCTGCAGGAATGAGACAGCCCTGAGCCCCTGCAGGCTGGACCTGAGGCAGTGCAGGAGTTGCGGCTGTCTCTTCTGGGCAGCTCCGCTGGAGGGATTTTGCTTGCTCTGTCTCACATTCCTGCCATTTTGCTCTGCTCTGCACAGCAGGGAACGTTTCCCAGGCTCCTTTGGCCTCTGGTGGGCTGGTAGGTGGGACCCACAGGAGACGCTGGCCGTGGGAGAGGCAAAGAGAATTCCCTCCTGCCTGCTTCAAGTAGCAACTGTGCCAGGCGCAGGTCTCCTGTGGTGCCAGGCGCAGGTCGTCTCCTGTGGTCCCAGCTGCCCCTTACGGCCCCCTGTCCTGAAGGGCAGACCTGGCTATGCTTCCAGAGTCTGTTTGGGGACCCTAGATGCTGGACACCAGGAACAATGCCCCTGCCCTCTGTCCCCCCAGCCTAGGGATTGTAATGTCTTTCTGCTGTTGATAATCTCGGGGGTGCTCCTCAGATCTTCCTTCACTTGTTCAACCCACTCCTACTCAGTTCCTCTCTTCAAAAGCATGTGCTGCTTTCTGCTTTCTGGTGGCGTAGTAACTGCCACACCATGCAGGAGCCTGGGGTGCACGGAAGGGCTGGGTCCTGCCCCTCAGGCCCCTCAGCCCTCACAGAAGACTGGTTTGTCGGCATAGTTGCTGGTCTGGGGATTGTCACCCACCCCCCAGCTCTTGAAAGTGTCTTCAGCCACAGACAGCAGAGTGGTCCAGATCCAGGATGGTGGCAGTGGGAGTCTACTGAACTGCCCCCATCATGGCCAGCAGGTCCCCGAGCAGACAGACATGGAGGAACTCCAAGAGCTACTGTGGAAGAACAGAGCTTTGGGCAAAGGCCAGGCTCCACAGCCACGGAGGAGGAGAGAGGAGGGGAATGATCTTCCCGCTGTGGTATCTGAACAGCATCTACATCTGGCTTTGCCTCATGAAGTGCAGCAGGCCCCAAGCCTGGGAGAGAGGAAGTGGGGTGGGGTTCCTAGCCAGAGAGAAGCTCTCTTCATTCTGGGGTCTCAGGGCTCTGAGAACCATCACCAGAGCAGAGCCTACGGTGTGAGACTAGACCAGCATGATGCTAGCAGCAACCACTGCTTTTTTTTTTTTTTTCTCTTCACAGGGCTGCTGGAGGGTTCCATGACAGAATTCACTTTTCATGATTAATCCATGGCTGGCACATAGGAAGCTCTCAAGAACTATGAGCTTAGAAGAAAAAATCAAACACAACTCTAACCTCAGCCAGCCTCTGTGGGTCTTGTTCCATAGGCATGTCAAGAGAGAGACCATTGGTACTGTGTCCTAGCAAAGAGGTCTGGGACACAGATCCAATGGCCAGGGCTGGAAGGGGTCACATAAGGTGAAGGATCAGAAAGGGGAGGGCATCATGAACCCTGAGCACTGTCCCCAAGGGCAAAGGGGGAGACAAAGGAGTCTAGCGGGTGGTCAGAGCCCCAGAGAGACCCTTGGGGACAGGCCTCATCGCGTGGTCAGGGAGGACAAAGTTCAAAGCCTGGTTAGAGTATAAACAGCAGAGTCAATTTTGGGGCTGGAGTTCAAATGTAAGTCTCTGGGGATGCTGGCTCCTTAAAGACACAGGGGTCATGGCAGGAGGCAGGGTTGAAAACTGGGTTCAAGGGCAGGTTGAGCTCTAAGTGAAGGGGACTTTGTCCTGGGCCCTAGAGAGACCTGGGAGAGCATCTGCAGATTAAGCAGTAGGGGTGGTCAACTGTAAGATGCTTGAGTTCAAATCCCAACCCCACACTTACCTGCTATGTGACTTAATTGAAGCAAGTCATTTAGTTCTCTCTAAAGTCTCACTTTCCTCTTTGTGGGCAAACCAGGAAGCAGTCCTCCTCAAAGAATTGTTGGGGTGTTGAAATGGGATAAGACATGGGGAACACCAGGCACTGTATCTTGCAGGTGTAAGGGCTCTGTAAAGAACTGATCCTTGGCCATACAAACCAACTGTGTCTCCAGTGCTCCCTCGTCCAAGCTTCGTGCCTTCCATGTGGTCCCTCGAGGCCCAAGCGTTCTCTTCTCTGGAGTAACATTCCAGCCTTTGCCCAGTGGTTGTG